ATATAAAATTTCATGATTTTTATATTTTAAAATTTATTATTTTCTATAAAATATATATTATTATTCTTAATAATTTTTAATGATTGTCACTATTAAAATTGATTTAAAAAGCATAATTAAGATTAAGAAAAAATTTTATGTAACAACTTCTAATAATATATACTATCAATTGAACAAAAACTAGAGATATATCAATGTGATTTATGCATTATTAGTGATAAATAAATATAATTTTTTACATAAATTAAGAAATTTTATAGAATATAATGTATTTTTATCTATTTAATTTCACATAATCATATGGTAGGTTTAATAAATTAAGATAAGTTTGATATAATTTGAGAAAGTATATTGAATATAATAAGAAATTCTGACAATGATGAAATCAAATACCTAAAAATTTCTATTTTTGATATCTCTTAGAATCAATTTAGTTTTTTTTTTTTATTGGGTTAGTTAATTAGTTCATTCAAATAATTTAATTTCAATCGTTCAAATAAAATTAAAATTAATTAATTTTGGAACATAATTAGTTTACCATCTATATAAATAATATTTAATTTTTATTATTATATTATTTGAATTAATTAATACTGTTGTTAAAGTAAAATTAGCTCATCAACATTGTCACCATATCTAAGTATGGATATAAGTTATTCACCATGGTTTGCATGCCGCACTTCTTGTTAGGCAAGCTCTTTCTCAGGGATTAATAACCATCAATTGTAGTCTCTTCTAGTGAGGAATGAAATTCACCAGTAAGCAATATTGTAATAAATGTATCTAGTTAAGCGTTCAAATTCAACTTAAGAAGTTCTTGAAAAGAGTTAGATAACCAGATATTTTATTTGATGAAAAGTTAACTAAATCATGTCTTAATGACCTGCCTCTATGCTAGAATAAGAAATAGAAGGTTCTCTAGAGTTAACTAATGGTGTTAGTACACGATACATAGGTACAGGCATTTTTGCAGGAAGATTTGGCATTGTTGTCTCAAACTTTACAACCTGAATTGCTAGCCTAATTGATGGCCTTAAGCTGCTATCAGGGTGAGAGCACCACATTCCAACAATCATCAAACATTATGCTTGTTTCTCATCAAAATCCTTCCTCACTCTCTCATCAACACCAGAATGAAGTCTTCCTTTCCCGTAAAGATCCCAAACCCACTCCAACCCCAAATCAAACTCTTCCCCCATTAGATCTATAGACTTTCTTCCGGTAGTAATCTCTAATATCACCACCCCAAAACTAAACACATCTGACTCTTTACTTGCCTTCCTTGTACTTATGTACTATGGAGCCAAGTAGCCAAATGTACCTGCCAACCCTGTTGTAATTCGACCTAATTCATGGTCCGTCAACTTAGCCAACCCAAAGTCACCAAGCTTAACATTAAAACTGGAATCCAACATTACATTACTTGACTTAATATCCCTATGCACCACACACTGCTCCCACTCTTCGTGAAGATATAGAATTGCTGAGGCCAATCCAAGTGTTATTCTATACCTGATATGCCAAGGAAAAGGACTTTTTTTGCCAAAGAGATGAGAATCAAGACTACCATTTGACATGAACTCATAAACAAGCAAGAACTCACTCCTTTCATGACACCAACCAATGAGCTACACCAAATTTCGATGCCTTAACTGACTAATGATCTTCACCTCTGTTACATACTCCTTTTTTCCTTGTTTTGATCCTTTAGAAATTTTCTTTACAGCAATCAACATGTCTACATCGGCTAGATAGCCTTTATAAACTGCACCGAAACCTCCTTCACCCAATTTCCTATCTTGAGAGAAATCGTTAGTAGCAGAGGCAAGATCTTGGTATGAAAACCTTCAGGGTCCTGTGCCCATCTCAAAATCATCATTCATAGATGTTAAATTTGTTACCTCTGCCCTTTTATTTACCTTCTTTCTTTGCCTTATAATCACATATGCTAAAAGTGTTCCAATGAGAAGAACAATCATCAGTACTGCAATAGCAACAACTATTTTGATCTTTCTTGATGAATTCTCATTGGTTTCCTTAGCATCCAAACTTGAATTGAATTTCCAAGATTTGAGTGTGTGTTGTCCAGCTACACCTCCTGTAGAAGCTGAAAAGCCTATAGTCACCCAATTGTTTGAAACATTCCTTAAATCAACTAGGTAATAAAGGGTTGAATTCTCTTGAGGATTTTTGGTGTTTTGATAGCTCCATGAGACACTTAAATTCTTGGTTGTAGAATTATAAGTAATCAATACATCAGCAGTATCCCTAATGTGTAAACTTGCATTCCAGGGAGTGTAAACAACAGAGCGTATAGAATTGATATTGATACCCACATGAGTTTGGACCTCCATAGGATCCCATTCAGGGTTCTGGTAAGTGTCAAATTCCACTGAGATGATCCTATTTGAAGAGGAATCTCTTGTTGTGGTGTTGAATAGGCCAAGGTAGCCACCAGCAGAGTTGGGTGGGATTTGAAATCCAACAGGAGCAAGGAAGAACTCAATTCCATCGTAGGTCTCGACACATTAATGCTGAAGGAGAAATGACAAGTAAAGTCTAAAAGCTTTCCCGAGTTGGAGTCCCACATCAAGACTTCATTTGCATATGTGACCCAACCAACACGAAAGGGTTCAACCTTGCTGGTTAACTCCACTATTCCAGAGGAAGATTCTGCATCTCCTTGGTAGAGAATGTAATTGGGACTAGGGGTAAAGTTGGGTATTTGAAAACTTATTGGATATGAAGATGGAAGAAGAAAAAGAAGAAGAACAAGAATAAAGGAAACACATTTTGAACTTTCCATGGCTTGGTAGATGGTAGGAAGTCTATGAAAATTATCGCATTTATGTTAATTTATATAACACTGGTTGGTCAAGTCATCCATACTTAATTGAAAATTGTAACCGTTGTATGTAATCCACATTGACTAATAAATCAGTCACAAAATTAGTGGCGCGATTAATCCAACATTGACCAACAAATCAATCACAAAGTCGGCGGCATGATTAGTCTAACATTGACTAACAAATCAATCACAAAATCAGTGGCGTGATTAATTCAACATTGACCAACAAATTGATAACAAGTGCTAACTATTAGTTGTTTCTAAACAATTAAACTAAAACAAAACATAAATTAAGAATCTTATAAATCAAATATTTTTAGTCTAGACTTGTAAAATGAATGTACGTGGGTTGAAATATCAATAACGCCATAAATAAATAAATTTAGGCACTATTTGGTATTATTGTATACAATAGTTTTTTAAACAATATATTTTTTAAAAATGTAAATTTAATACATAATTAACTAATTTTAATTAATATTTTATATATTTTAAATAATTTAAATTAATATTTTATAATTTTTGAGAGAATAAAAGGAAAAAAAAAAACCCTATGGCTAAAGTATTACAATTCCAAACAAAGAAATTTATTAATAATACTTTTGATAGTAAGCTCCCAGATGACAAAATAAAATATCAATTCATACTAAAATGAATATTTCTACATGAAATGATAAAGGGTAAATTTAATGAGAATATAAAAAAAAAATTAGAATGTTATGGTACTAATTTTTTTCTCAAAAATATATACTAAATTTTTGTTTTAAATTGACTTTCCGTATAATTTCTAAGGTCATTAATTTTTCCTTTCTCATCTTAACCTTTGTGCACGGTAAAACAATCCCGGATTATGTGTCAGTGAAAAATACTGTCTTGTAATCAAACGTTGGGTATGGTGATTGTAGGAATTACATAACTGTCGTAAATATCTTATATTTGGCCTGCGGATCTTTATCGAGTATACCCAGTCGACCAGTCCACTGAAACTAGCATAGAATTGGGCCAAAAAAAATCTTGAAGTATAATAAATATCTGCATGTCTTAAAATATACTTTTAAAGACCTTAGTATGATAACGATTATGGTGTATACTTCGTAAATGTCAGAGCAACAAAACCATCAAAGATATCACAGTTAAAGCCCAGGACCAAAATTTAAAACCATATATTTAATCATGCAGAGGCTGTCACTGGTAATAGTCCGTTGTGCCTGAGCAGTGCCTCTGGTGAAGGTTCATGACCTCGGAATTCAATAAAGACCTGGATGACATGGTTAAAGGGTTCGCTTAACACATTCTCATTCAACAGAGAAGAAATAATGATGTCAAAAGTCACAACGTAACGTAACGAATATGTGTTACATAATGTTTCTAATAAACAAATCAACGAAAAAGGAGAAAGCTGGCTACAGCTCATCATAAAGTCTGCGTTGACTAACCTCTAGTGGTGCTTTTCCACCTCCACGAGCAAGAATTGTCTCTTGGAACTCCCAGCCCGTTTCTGTAACAGCCTGTTGAATACAAATATACACAGTTGTTTATGGATTAAATGAGAAAAGACTAAGTTAAGGTGTGTGTTAGATGCTCCCACAAACTCAAAAATGCAAGGCAAATCCAACATCATTAACACCAGCACCGAACAGCTCTTTCAACTACCATACCTTGCTATAATCTAATCCAGCAGCCTCAAATGCCAAGAAAGCATCTGCAGACAATACTTCAGCCCACTGCAAAATTAGCCATGAGGAGTTTTAGATTGCATTACAATGGGCAATGTAAAGGAAAATGGACAGAAATCATTGACTCACAAAGTTTTCTAGGCCTTGGATCATAAATCACAATAAACTATACCTTGTAACTGTAGTAACCAGCCACGTATCCACCCGAGATTCACCACTGAAAATTAACACAACCAGAGGCAAAGGTTGAACCAAAGAAACAAAATACGTATGACAAATAATTTTTTTTAAGAAAAAAAAAAAGAGAAGAGAGGGCACACCTGCAAATATGTGGCTGAAACTAGAAAGGAACTTATCTTATGCTAACGGAAGGATCAACTATGTCCGCCTTGAAACTCTCTGATTAACATCATAAAAACCACCAGGGGTATATATTTGGTGTGTAACTCCAAATCTACACTGGCAAATCGGATCTAAAATATAGGTTATCAAAACAGTATTTCAGTTATAAAGCAGTAATGTATCATAAACTTCATTTAGTATTCTCATTAATTAGTCATGATTAGTGTTTATACTCCTATTAGCGAGATAATAGGAATAACTAGTATTTACACTTTCACTAGCAGGAGAACAAGAATATAACAAGATGAACCTGTTCCATAAAAATACATGTTGATATGTGTCAACGTTTTCAACTCCCACTGGCAGGCAACATGAATCATGACAAAATTAGAGATAAAACATGTAGTTATTTAAACAAGAAACATAATTTAGATTGTTTTAACATTTATATCTTGTGAAAAAAGCATGCTTAAGCTTTAATAAATAATTATAAAACTTAATATCAAAGCATATCATGCTCATATCAACATAAATAAAGTCAGGTCCAACTATCACCTCAAAACAGTTCAAGATATATTTTTAAAATCTTAGTTTAAAACCATTGGCATGATCATGAATTTACTTACCTCACGTTATAGAATTTCAAACACAATGTGAGAACCAAGCACTAGGATGACAAGCATTTCTATTAACCAGAATTCTTGCACGATGAATCTCAATCCATCTCCTCAAATTTTGAAGATAATACCAATTTAGTATTTGAACTTTGAAGACAAATACCAGCTTAATCCTTGAACATTGATTACAAATATCAATTTAGTCTTTCAGTTTTGATTATATATTAAGCTGATTTGTAAATGAAAATATGCTATGATGACAAAATATAATTATTTAATTTTACACGTCATTAATACCTTAAAAAAACTGATTTTATAGCAATATAGCAAAATAATAAGTTACAGAACACTGCTATTGATAGAACTTTTTCGGTATTGAAAATTAAAGTTCAAAAATAATTTTAGTATTTTTTATAGTTGGAAAATAATTTCGATATAAATCTAAAAGTTAATGGATCAAATTAATATTTTCACAATTGCTTTTCAGCATTTAAAATGCTTCTGAGGAAGTTTTAAATAAGCTTATTTTTTAAAAGGTATAATAAAGGTATATTTTTATAATTAATTTAGATTAAAAATTGTAAAAATTAACATATATTTTAATATTATTGATACGTGAATGATTTTAATTAGTTAATTAATTAAATCAAAGTTAATATTTATATTTTTAATCAAAATTAATTATAGAAAAATCTTTTTTTATTTTTTTGTCTCATTTTCTTTGAACTTATTCTCTCTTATTGAAGTGCCATAACATCCATATAAGAGTTACACTAGAATCCATTAAAAATAAAATAAAATAAAAAAACCTGTTGCATGAGAAGATTTATAACTGTCTAGAGTTTCCAGAAAGACTTGACTTTCCTATTGATTACGAAAACTAAAAAGCTCAAAATTAGAGATAGTAAAGTAAAGTAAATTGTTAATGAGTTTATTTAAAGGGTGAATCTCATGGGCGGTCACCCAACTTGATTAAAATCAACGTTTTGGTCACTCAACTTCTAAACCTAACAAAATGGTCACCTAACTTCCTAAGGTGTCCAACCGTTAGTCACCCACGGTTAATATTAACTGAAAATGTTAAATCCCCGTTAAGGTGGCTAAGTTAAATGCCACATCAGATCTGGCATGGCATTACAACATGAAAATCAACTCCAGGCACTAAACGCATGGTGCTGACATCATGAATTACGTATCGACACCACACCCGTGTTGGGTTTCTAGCCTTCTTTTGTAATTTTTCAATTAATCCCAAAAACTCCTATTCTCATGCATTTAAGTCTTTTTTCACAAAGAATGAAAATAATTTAAAATTTATTGAAAATCAGATATTATCTATGCAAATAGTAATAAAATCAAGGCTAAAATAATAGATTAAACTATATAGAAATGCTTCTTATCATTCATAAAAAAAAGACAAAATTTCTTAGATAAGTATTAAATTCTAGAGTTTGTACTGCAAGCAATCCATCCAAATCCAAAAAAAAAAAATAATAATAATAAAAGGAAAAGAAAAGCTTGACAAAAGTTCACTTATTTGTATTTTCTTTTCTTTGGCTCTACTTGTGATATTGTTGACATTGCTTGAGATGAAGCATCAGCTGAAGGTTGGCATGAAGCATAAGAATGAAATAAATTTGAAGCAGCTTCAAATGAAATTGCATAAGCTTGAGTTGGTGAATGATTAACAATGACAGGAGTAGCATTTGGTGACGTATACACTATTTGACTAGACCCCTAAATTAAAAAATATAAATAGAGAGTAAAGATTATTTTCCAATTAATCAAATTAACTATGAAAAAACTTTTTCCAACAATCCAACAAACCACCAAACTTACATTGGCAAACCATCTAGTGGTCACTTGACTTTGAGAATTGTTCTGATCACTTAAGTTAGGAACTAATGTTTCATTTATGACAGGTGCCTTCTTAACCTTCTAAACAAAAAAACATGTTAAGTTAAAAAAATGGCATTTAGGATTTTTAAATTTCTTTTAAACAATTGAAGTAAAATAACTTATTGGTAACTTGCCCTTCTTAGGTTGCTCAGATCCAACATTGAGATTCCTTTGGTCCTTGGGTTGAGGTCTACAACTCCTCTTGTTATGGCCAATGTTGCCACATAAAGTACATCTCATTTTAACCCCTTTCCTTCCCATTTTTCCAGGTTGCTTTTCCTTTTCATCAACAACTTTTCTCCTTGCTTTCTTTGGCCTTCCAGCTGCTCTTCTTATAACTGGTGGTTGTACAGGTGGCATATCACCTTTTTCCCACTGGGGAGCACCTCTAATGGGAGTTATGAAGTTGCTGTAGAGGTTGATGAAGGTTTCGACTTTATAGCAGGGGGGAACATGATCATAAACATTTTCATTATTATATAATATGGCAGCCACTGCATGCATACAAGGGATACCACTAAGGTCCCATTTTCTACAAGTAAATGTCCTCCTTCGAAGTTCCACAATATATTGATTTCTATGACACTCAACTTGAAACTTAAGTGCACCAGCTAGTTTTGGAAAACACTTGGCTGAATGTTCCTTCAACATTTCAATTTTTTTCATTATTTTAGGGCAAAAAGGTCCATGCCATTTCTTTGCCTCTTCTATTCTCTTTGCTATTCTCTTCATCAATTTGGTTCGAATTGTTTCAATTAGAGTTATTATAGGTTTGTCCCTTGCATCCAAAATAAAACTGTTAAAGGACTCACTCAAGTTGTTGACTAACATGTCAACATTGGTCCATGTCTAGAAATAAGCCCTTGACCAATGTTTGGGATGCCTTTCTACTAACCAATCAGCTACATTTGGTGACCGACATCTCATTTCAAACATTGCTTGCTTGAACTCCTGCTCATATGTGGACCTTGCAGCTTTCCATAAAATTTCCTTCAAAGTTGTACCCTTGTGATTTGTTTTGAAATTGTTGTAGAGATGCCTTACACAAAACCTATGTTCTGAGTTTGGAAACTTCTTTTCAAGAGCTGGTACAAGTCCCTATACAAAAACAAAACGGAACCAATTCCTATATCATATATAAAACAAATAGAAATATAAACATTTGGTATTTAATTCCTAAATTGAAAATACCTTCTGTTTGTTTGACATAAAGCCCCATCCATGTGTATTTACAATATCAAAGTCATCATTTAATTGGTCTAAAAACCAACTCCATGAATCTTTCAACTTAGATTCAACTATTGCAAATGCCAAAGGGTACATACAATCATTAGGATCAATGGCAACTACACATAAAAGTTGTCCCCCAAACATGCCCTTTAAAAAACAGCCATCAAGGCAAATGAAAGGTCTACAACCAGCTTTAAAGCCTTGCTTAATTGGTCCAAGACAAACATACATCCTTTGAAAAAGTGATGCCTCTCTATGACAAATCATGGTGTTGCCCTGATTCCAACGTTTCACTTCATCTATATAGTCATAAATGTATTCAAATTGTTGAATGAAATTTCCATTAATTATTGACTTTGCTTTTTCCTTAGCTCTAGAGTATTTTTGGTGATTAACTATGGTGAAAAAGTCTTTTCTAACTTGAACTTGCAGTGCACATGGTGCCCAGTTTGGATCAGTTTTAAAATTGTCCAAATAATGTTATGCCAACCATTGTGCAAAGAAGTTTTTATTCTTTGTCTTTTTCCCACAATTATGCCCATATTTCAAAGTCTTGATCTGTCAAGTTGTGTCTTGTTCTGCCTTACAATCAGCGAGTGATGCCCACATTTCCCAAGGACAATTCTCTTCCTTGCAAATTGCCTTAACCCTTTTCTTATCATTCTTTTCAAACTTAACTTCCACCCTATTCATCCTTGCTTCTTGTTTAATAGCTTGTTTCAATAATTCCCTATCTTTGAATAACCTTCCTACAACCAACTTTAGTTTCTCCATGTCAACACTCTCATTGAACTCTGGATACCTTCTCTTAGAAGTGCCATCATCGTCAGACTCATACAGGCTATGTAGTTCATGTGAGTTATCACTATTAAGTCCTTCATTTTCTGGAATATTACTAGTAGGATAACCTCCAATCAAAATTGTAGCACCACCATCAAGCCCTAGATCCACCTCATGTTCAAAAAAGTCTTCGTAATCCTCTAATTCATTATCACTCTCCTCAAATCTAGATTCTTCATAATCTGGATCTTCATTATCACTATTGTCACTATTTTTATTGTTAACATTGTTCTCTTCATTTCTATCCCAATAATTATTTGACTTCACCTCCACATAAACATGTACATAATGATCAGAAGGTAAGTGTGCAACCATATCCATTATTGTTTTATCATCGATCATTTTGATAAGACCATCAATAAGTTTCAAACTTGGCTTTAACCAAAAACAATTCACATCTTCAATAATATGCCCAGTATCTCAAGCTTGTCCTCTAATTCAAGCCAAGAAATCTTATCAACATTTATCAAGTTAACATAACTAACTTTTCCACCCTTATACTTTGTGCCTTTTTTTTCATCATGCATTATCTTTCCTCCATGATGAATTACACGTGAAGAATTCTGATTTATCAGGTGAAATAAATAAAAGTAATATATATTATAAAAATGTTTAGTTTCCAATTGTCACCTCACCAACCTTCAAACACACAGAGTCAAAGAGTTGGGCTTCAATAAAGAACGACCAACCAACAAGACTGAAAAAAAAATGAATGAACTTAATTTACAAAACAAGCCTAAAAAAAAGATATGAAAAATGACATTAATTATATTCCTAGGATATCCCACAATGGATGAACCCCATATAAGCTTGAAATCAACTTGAAGTAGTGACAAACTAATTAATTGCAACAATTTTAGTCTTGCAAAACAAAAAAATTTATAACCTTAAATCATTAAGTTTCAATTGATAAGAAACTATGTAAGGGAATAAATAAAGTCTACCCCCGGCTAAAAAAAAAATTAGTCTCTTCATTTTAATTTTTTGCCAATTCTACTTGTGAAAATAAAATTTTGATGCAAAGAAGTAATGCATGTTTCATGGTGCCACATTAACGAAACACCCAAAATTGATCACGGTAAGATAGAAAAAGCAAAACATATTGATGTAACACAATAGAAATAGAGAAAAGAAATAAGTCAACCCAAAAAGCAACTCGATTACTATTTTCATAGGCAGCTGTAGTAGACTTGAGTGCTAACACACCAATTAGATTTAATATAAATTACAAACTTTTGAGCTTTAAATAAAAAAAAAAAGAAAAAAAAGAAAAACTATAACCTTCTACTCTTAAATTCGCAAGCATTGGAGAAAAATAAATTATTGAATTATATAAATCTACATCCCTAAAGTTAAATTTTGATTGTCTAAAAAAAATATGATAAATTTGTAGACATCACTAATCAAACTCAATACAAAAATCAATTACCAAAAACACAATGGTCCCATGACATCCCCACTTATGGTAAACATATGCACATACAACTATAAAGATACTAAATTCTCACATGATAAATCTCACACAATCAAAGAACGAAACCCTTCCGAAAAGCACTAAGTTCCAAACAAAATATTGGATGGAGAAGCTTATGACTTATTGTAAATTGGATAATCACTTGTAGTTTTTCAAATGCGCCACATCCTCTCAAAATTTAATTTTGAACCTCCTAAAGAGTTCATTCAAAAGCCTATTGAGGAATGCCCAAAATTCTAAGAAATTTCTAATTGAGAGATTGGACAAAATCCCTTCAAAAAACCTAGAGTATTTAGCCAATATTTTAGGTATTCAAGTTATAGTAGGATTTCACTCTTTAGTATTCCCGCTAGTGAGAGCCACCTCATGTTGTAATGCCATGTCAGATCTGATGTGGCATTTAACTTAGTCACCTTAACCGGGATTTAACATTTTCAGTTAATATTAACTGTGGGTGACTAACGGTTGGACACCTAAGGAAGTTAGGTGACCATTTTGTTAGGTTTAGAAGTTGAGTGACCAAAACATTGATTTTAATAAAGTTGGGTGACCACCCATGAGATTCACCCTTATTTAAATCATTTTATTTTAATTGTACTCAAATAAGACTAGAGTTAAGTTAATTTTGATATTGAATTAGTTAATTGTATTTATTAAAAGATATTTGATTTTTATCATTATATTATTTAGAATTTTTCTAACATATACTTTTAAAATCCATGTTAAGAAAGCAATCAATACACCTTTTTATCATTAAAATACATAGAAGAACTCAAATAAGATTGGAGTTAAGTTAATTTTGATATTGAATTAGTTAA